ATTTTTGGAGACACGGACAAGTGTTTATGCCGGCACAACAGGTGCACATGGGCATTTGGTAGGTGCAAATCCTGTACTCACCTTTGGAAAACCTGGCCCATGCTGAGTTAGCCCCATAAAGTCTGAGGATTTATTCTAACAGCTTCAGCACATATTTCTCCCTCCAGATTACTGTACTGGTGCCACAAGACAATACAAGTGTGTTTATCATCATTTTATTATTTTCATAATCTAATGGCAATGTACAAAGAATGGGTCCTTTGTCTTTTGTAAAAGTATTTGCTTTGGGGTGGAAAGGGAGTATCAGTCATTTGTTAATAATAAGGTCAGACTCCTTCCATCCCTATAGTCAGACGTGGCAGCTCAGCCTGAGGAAACAGAGCCCAGGAATTACTGTTCTCCCCTTGCAGACAGAGAGGAGTTCAGGGTCCTCCCCGCACCCCCTTAATCACAACAGCCATTTCTATCTCTCCTCCTGAGAGCTGCATACTTTGCATTTTCCCTGTACAAATAACTGCTCAGGCCTTTCTTTCAAAGGGCCTTTATTAAACCACCAACTATTTGCTGTCGAGACATTTAGGATGAAATCATCGTGTTAAACAAATAAACGCAGCTTCATACAGATCTGTGCTCTGGGAGCAAAGTAAGAAAATAATTTCTGTCTGCTTACCCCAAAAGCGGCTGGAAAGGCCAAAAGGAAAATATTATTTTTACTTCATTGTGTGAAATATCGTTTTAGAGGATCTGACGCGTTGAGCGTTTGAAGAGTTTTTGCTGGCAGGTTTCAAGGGTCCCCTGGGTTGACCCCCTGGGATTGTTTTCTTCATTAATAAACTTAGCATGATGTGTGTTAAAAGGAACATTCTGTTTGCTTTGTAAATAAGGGATGTCAAACAAGAAGCAGAAGCCTGGCAGACACTAGGTGATGTGTTCTTCGAGGAGGAAAAAAAGCCCTGGAAAACTTGGGAATATCAGGGTTGCCTGAACCAAGCTGAAGCTTTGTTGGGAAAAACAATTCAGTCTGTGAGCCCAAACAAGGTATTTTCCTTACTCATCCTGGTGGGAAAGCTGAACACTCTGCCCCAGAGCAGCAGGGGATGGGCTTGGGAAGGAAAGCTCGCAAGAGTCCATCCCAGGCATAGCGGAAGGTACATAATATATACCCCTGTTTTTATTTGGAAGGCACATTAGGTCAGCTGTGAATGTTGCCATAGGCTTGGGACAGGGGGAAGGGAGAAGTTTTTTAATGATATGATTTTTAATCTCCTGCCTTATTTCACTGCAGCTGGGGTAGTTACCTTGGTAAAGCTTCTGATTCAAGGGGGTCATTTGCAAGAGAGCAATTCTTCTCCTCCCAGAACTGGGGTTCCTACCCTAATGCAAAGCATGATGGAGCAAAAGAGAAGCCTCTTGTTTATCTATATTTTATTTTGTATATTGTCTGCCTCCCAGCTGCCTTGCCTACTCATGGTTCTCAGAGTTCCTGAACCCATTCACTTTCCCTCTGCTGCCTGTCCACCTCAACAACCTTACCGGCCCCCAGAAGGCAGCTTTGCTCCTGTCATGTACAGATGGATTCTGGACTTTTCAGGACTACTGCAACCAGGGAAAGAAAATAAACAGTCTTGAGAGCTTGGAGAACACAACTCTATTTGGAGGAGGGCTGGTATTCATGTGGGAGGGCAGTGGTAAAACTAAGGGAGGATTGTGGAGGTGGGTTGAGAACAGTGGTAGTAGCCCTGATGGCATTCTCATTAGAGAAGCCAAAAACCAAATGGATATGGAGACTAACTTCTCCTGCTCCTAAGTGACTCCTCCAGAGGGCTCAGCCTTGTTAGTGAGGTGCCATATGGAAGTTTGTATTGTTGATGTACTTGATCTATAAATAGAGGTCTTCAGGCTCTTGCACTGTCATGGTGCCTTTTCACAAGCACTAAGCGCACCATCCTCCACTCCACATTTGCAATGGACGATTTTTGAGGATTTGTCAAGAGTTAATTTAGCTGTGTGCTGGCATCCTCAAGACTACACACAATACACAGACAGCAAAAGAATACTAAAGTACTGCCCACACAGCAGTTCCAAAGTTGGATTGTCATCACACGTGGCCTTGGGAATCTCCAGTGCCTCCACACAGTGAACAATAGAATGATGGATGTAATAGCCACCCCATGGTGTTCTGGGCGGAAGCGATGAAAGCCTGTTATGGTCTCAGATCCTAAGGAGAGACAGTGCTCTCCTTATAGGAGATGTCCGAGATGTGCTGCCCACAGAGATTAGCATGGCTGGCTCAGCCCAACGGCACCCAGAACTCCTGACATCATGGGCAGGGTCTCTGCATTCTTACTTGGTTAGTTCTGAGATGTCGCTCAGATCAAAGGGTTGCAGTGCGCCCAGTGCCACTCTTTTCACAGAGCTGGCTCTGCAGCTTTAAATCCAGTCCCAGCTGCATCTATCCAGCAGGCCACTCCTCTGCTGTGCATACCTGATGGTAGCTGGATCTCCTTCCGTAGGCTCTTAGAGTGGTAATTCTTAAATTAGCCTTCTGGCCAGCCTCCCTGCCTGTCCAATCCCCCTCATTGTTCTTCCTCCCATGCTGACCTTCATGCTGAACTTCTCTGTCTCCCTCTCCCTACTTTCAACGCTGCCGCTCTCCCCTTTCAATCAGCTCCTATCAATACTTACTTCTCTTTACCTCTGAATTTAACAAAAAGGAAGGAAAGGGTTAACATTCCTTTGCTGTAGCCATTAAAAACTGGTAGCCCCGAGGTCACTGCACCCTACAGCTGGGTTTCATGGTGGTCCAGTTGGGAAACAGTGTGTTCTGTTACATGGGTGGACGCGCAGTGTGCTGGGATGAGTTGTCTGGGCAGCTTGGCAGCCTGTGCTTTGGCTCCTGTGTGAGTAGGTAAGAGAACCCATTCTGTCCCATGCTGTTGGGTGGATGGCCAGTCTATTCTGTCAGATAAATGGAAACCAATCACTATGTGGTGGCGTCTGAGTCACTAACAAGGGTTGTGTCTGTTTTACTTTCTGGTTATATTGGCTCTTGCACTTATACAACATCCTCTGCCCAAGAGCCCCAACGTGCATTGCAATGAGCAGTAAGCATTCTCCCGTTTATAGATAGTGAGGCACCAAGAGGTGAAATGACTTGCCCAAGTTGATGGAGTGGGTTGGGAATGAAACCTAGGATTTTGTCCGCCGGTTCGCTGTTTCAGTCACCTGTTCGAACTGCCTTCCAGCAACTGAGACTCTTAATTTTTCTAAAGTATTCTAAACCCCCAAACATGCCTGGGAGATGGGAATGTATTGCTCTCCACATGGAAACGGTGGCACTGATAGTTCACGGGCAGAGCTCAGAAGACAGTCTCTGACTCTCCTGAGCTTGAAGTGGGAGTTAGAGTATTTTTTAAAATCAGAGCTGTTAAATTCTCTTTCTATAAAATTAAATTAAAATGTTCTTATTGTGCCATTGAGATAGTGTAGTTTACGATCACCAATCCCGTTCAGAAGCCAGTTCAGTGACTTGAAGGATGCTCGTCTTTTCCTTAAGCCATTTAAAGGTTATGTATTGCAGACAGAAAGTTTCAGAAGCTCTCGCTCCAAAGTCCTCTACAAAGATGTTTTGCTGCAGTTTTTGATTTTTAATAATGAACTCTTTCCATTGACAAGTTTTTTACAGGGCCTATTTTGAAACCTTGGTATTTGAAAAAGCTTGCCGCTGTTTTCTTAAATTACATCCCCTTGCAGGTCCATAAAACCCTGAAGTTATTACAAATAAATAAATGGAGTTTCTGTTCATGATATAAACCAGCTTTGAATGAAGTCATTGAGTGGAAGGTTGACTTGGATTGCTTCTGAAAAGCTGCTCAGACCCAGGGCAAAGTTCTGCTTTTCCTCCCAGGGCTGAAGAAATTGGTGAGCAGCTGTTCTAAGTCAACTGAGTGGAGAAAATCCCTGTTGCTTAATGTCTTGTTGCAATTTCCAGTGGGAAAGCAAATATCAAGAAGTCCATTCCTCCCCGCACCTTTTTCTCTCTCTCCCAGTTTAGACTTGGGACTCTCCTGAACACATTGTGCAGCTGAGACCTAATGAAGGAGAGAGGATTTGAGTGGCTCAGTAACCTTCCTTTCCCCTCCTCCCTCTACTGGAAATCTGATCCCATCCAACAACACAGGGGGCCTAATTCATCCCTGGTGTCAGCAGAGTTTGCACTAGTGTTTAATGACCCATGCTTCTCTGAACTGGGCTACAAACGCTTGGTGCCAGCATGACCGATACAATGTAAGTTGTGAGCTCAAGCTCCCAGAGTTTGGTCTCTTGGAACAAAGGCACAGTGGATCCTGCTACATTCTATAAATTGCACCCAATTCTCCTCTCCCTTTCGCTAGCTTTAGACCAGTACGTTTCCACTGATTTTGATAGAATTATTTCTAACTTACTCTTAATGAAAAAGAAAATCAAGCTGTCTGTGTCCACCACCAGATAACACCCTCTGCATGGGATCGGGCCCAAAACACATTCTGCTTCAACCCAGTTTTATTCCAGCATTCACTTGGGAAAAACTTCTGGGTTTTGTTAATGTGTTCATGAAATTTCCTGGATCCATGAGTTTTAGTACAAGTTAACAAACATAACATATTAAAAGAATATCTAAAAAGAGAGAGCAACTAGAAATAGACGAACAACAAACTTCTGGTATTGGTTTTTGGATGAATAATCAGTTTGTGCTGAAATTTGTGAGTCTTTCCAGGTTCACCAACACTTTCACAAATACTCACCAATTACAGCACCAAGGAAACATCACTGTGACATCTCAGAACTGAAATATTTCCATTTTCAGGCATTGCTTTTTGATGAAAAATGGAACGTTTCCATGGAAAGCAGAGATATTTTTCCCACAAGAGATTTCATCGAGTCTAAAACTTTGTTTTTTTAATGGAAAATTCTTGACCTTCCCTAGCAGGCCCTGCAACCTATCCTGAACCTTTTATTACCTTGAGAACCGCTGTTCCAGTTGACCCCCGCTGTTTTCTCTTCCTCCACATAATGTCAAGATTTGTTCATCTCTTGGGATTTTCAGTCAGCCCCTGGATCCCCACATTGACTGCCAAATCCAAATGACAGATCCAGTTCCACAAGACACTAAGAATGAGAGAGAAAAAACAGGTAAAAACAAAGAAAAATTGTATGTATTGATATTATGGTAGCTCCATGAGGGCGCAATCACACTTGGGCCCCAATGTGCTCGGTGCTGTACAAACAGTAAAAAATAGCCCTTGACCTGAATCACTTACAAATTTTAATTAAGGTAAGATGCAATAAGAGGATGTAACAACCAGTCAGTAGGAATGGGGGAAAGAGGATCAGGGGACCAGTAATGCCACACTAGTAGAGCTTTCATGTTAGTAGCAGTAATTATGATTACAGATAATTATGATTTACATGTTAGAAATTGTACTTGGTTCTCCTTTCCATTATTAATCCTCGGAGATGGAAGCCTATGTCCTTCACTGGGTTCCTAATAGGGTATCAGTATGTTAATTGCCCCCGCCCCAATCTTTGGGTTAATGTTTGGCTGTCATTATAGAAAAGGCCTTCCAATAGCTCAGAGGTACAAACTGGACTCATTCATCTCAATGAAATTTTAACTCTTACATGTATAGATGACAGTTTAGATACCAACCTTGTTAGCTATTTCACTGTAACCCTTCTGCCAGGTGTTGCTGGCAGCAAAAAGGGCTAGGTTCCATTATCTAGGAGTTCCTTCTGGTATCAAATAACACCGGCTCAAGTCCCCGCCCAGAAACCTGGGAAAACTAACTATCCTCCCAAAATCTCCCTATGTGTCCCTAAGGCCAAAAGCCCCAATCATCACCTAACTAGCTTCCAAAACCTCCAGCTTCTTTGGCATACTGAAAATTGAAAATGTGAGACCAGCATAAAATACATTGAATATCCAAAGAAACAACAGAGGGGCTACTGTACTGATTGCATTTTTCATTTGCATGTTTAAAGGAAAATTTGTGATTTTTAATTAAATGAAGTTGCCACAATATTTAAGCCCAGCTTGTCACAGAGTATAGGGATCTCTGAATATAGTATATATGAATGAGAATATACAGAAAGTTATAGATCAAGCTGAGATATAGTTAGCTCTTACAGTAATATAAAGAATTATGGCGAAGAAGATGACACGTTGCCTTGGGAATGGTTTATGTTCTCCTCGTGTAGTAGTTAAGATACAATCCTGGTCAAATTGTTTTTGTTCAAAACTTGTTTTCAGTAGAAAAATTGCCCTTTTCACTTTTGAAAACTTACAGAGTGGCAAAATGAAAAAAACAAAATAAAGGAAAATGAAAAGTGAAATAAAAACCTGGACATAACTGGTTATATCTTAGTCAATGAGGAACAGGAAAATATGGAGGGAGGGGGAAGAAAAGGAGGAAACAAAAAAAAACAAATTTTCAAAATTTATTAACAAAATGTTTCATTAAATTAAAAAAAAAACCAAACCACCAACACATTCCATTTTGGAAAGAAAACTGAAATTTCCAATTTTTTGGCAAAAAAATCTTTTCCTTTTCATGACCAGTTCTCATCACAGCCTTGAGGAGTTGTGGTAATTAGCATAATATGTAATACAACTCCTCACTCAGTGAAGACAGGGACCGTCGTATTTAGCCTCTTGTGCCAATTAATCATAGGTAATCCCATAGGTTTATCTACAATCATCTGATAGGATATCAAATGTGATCATCCCTGCCTAAGTGTTGACTACAGACGGATGTTTAGTGTTGCATTAGTTAACATGAGTCCTCAAGGTTATGCTTCAACATGACCCAATTGTGAAGGCAAGCCCTGGGAGATAGTCTTAAGCCAATACCACAGTAAAAGGCATGGGGACACTGTGCTGATTCAGAGACACTGGACTGGTCTCACCGCCAAGTTGTCGACAAAACCTTTGTCTTTCATGGGTACTTAAAAAAGCCCCCCCCAACCCCGAAAGATAGAAGTTTTGCCGCAGCAAGTGGCAGTGTGAACGCGGCTTTTTTGGCAGGAGCACTCTCCTGCTGACAAAGCGAACACCACTCGCAGGGCTGGAAGTATTTTGTCGGCAAAAGTGCTGACAAAGAGCGTTTACACGTGCCGACATTTAGCAATAAGGCTGTGTCGACACAGCCTTGTTGCTAAAAGCTGCATGGTGTAGACAAGCCCAGAGTTACTCAAAAGAGCTATAAAGTAAAATGCTAACTGTGATTGCTAAAAGTATTTGGCCAAGATAGTCACAAAATTAATTAGAGTGTTAACTCAAGTTGCCTGGCTATAGTCCTGTAAAGGTAATTATATTCTGCTGAAATAAATTTCTTCAAAAAGCTGTCACATTCCACCTCAGAGTTGGCTGCATTTCAATAGTAATTGAAGTGATTCTTGTCTACACAGGACCTGAGCTGCAAAACTGACTTGCACAAGTATCTAAAGACTTATTCCTATTGTAGTCTGAATAAAGGTTTTCAGGATTGGGGTCCATAGCATAGAAAGCAATTTGAGATGAAGGTTGTATATAAATATTTATTATTTGTTGCTGTGGAATTATTTAGTGCTTTACCCTGAATTCATACAAGCAGGAAGGATTCCCTTTTGAGCTCCTCTGCCTTTCCATCAATACTTGTTCAAAGAGAAGTGTAAACTGCAAATTGAGAAAGTCCACTTGGCAAAAGAATCCTGGAGGAAGTCCTGATCATTTCCCAGTATTAATAACCACCCCTGCACGTCTGTCTGTAAAGCTTGGTTTGAGTCTTTTTTTCTTAGTATCTTAGCTCTTTAGGATAATGGTATCATTCTACTTCAACAGGAATATACGATGATACAACATGATTACAGTAATTGCCTTTCACAGTGCTGGGAATCTGCAGGTCTCCGTGCCTTTTTAATTCTTTGCTTTCTATTCAAATTCCAATGACATGTTTCTCAAGTGGCTCTGTAGGATTAATACAATCTTATAAAGCTAGAATTAATGGAATGCAGCTCAACTCCTGATTTCTTCACTCAGACAGCTGGTAGAAACTATACTCAGAAAACGTGAGTTAGTGCTTTAAAATCTTTTGCAAACTTGTAATCAAGTAAAGTCTATGTTACATTAGCTATCAAAGGTCCATTTCTTTATAAAATGGTAGGATTATATTTTTTAAATGTACAATTTCTCATTGCATGGCAGAGGGTCTGAACATTAAAATATAGCAAGCTCTGAACCATGTTTTCAGTGAGCTCATCACCCAATGGAAAATTTATTGAAAGGGATTTATTTTATTTTATTTTTTCAAGGGCATTCAGTATTCCCTCCCACCCTGTCAGCAACTTCAGACCATTACCTTAATCAGTGCAGGGGGTTTCTAGGCCTTCATGCAGATGGGATTTCTTCAAAGAGGCCCCTTTGAGGACTGATTTCTTTGGGGGATGAGGGGATTCGACTCCTTTCGTATTGACAGTGTTTCCCCTTTCTCTGCACAGAGTCCTCAGACTGAAGCCCCATCTTGAGTTTAGAACTTACATAAAGGCTGATCAAAGGCTAACGTAGAGAGCTGATGAGAAAACACACATGGAACATGAGGAATTGTCCTTGTATCATGAATGATCTGTGTTCTTTGCAAATATGTAGCCCTTTCACTGGGGAGCTATACCACAATGCAAGGAAACCAGAGCTCCCGAAAAAGTGCTTTTTTAACTGGTGCAAGCAGCAGTTCCTCCTGTCACACAGAGACAATGGAGAGGCTGCTATGACACCTGTCTTTCTAACTACCAGGGTAGGGCCTTTGGCTGGAGGAATGTGCATCAAAGGGCAACCATGCATTCTGATTTCTGCCTGCTGATTCAGCCCTTCCAGACCTTACCAGCTGGTGTAAGTTAGAGGCTTCCTCAGGCTGCTCTAGCTACACCTGGGGACTGGCCCTGTAGAAAGCAGCCCCAAGACCAGGGGAATACAATAGTGAGCTTTATGCCACCTCCGCACCTTGCTTCTTCACTTCCCCTGTGTGATCCTTGGCAGTAGCCAATACACTCTAGCCATATCATATGAAATACATTTGTTCTCAAGTCAACTGCATTGTTAACTAACTTCAGAGGCATGGGTTCTATCCATTTCCACTTTACATCAGGTGGTTGTAATTTACTGCTGGCACTGAACCTGAGACTGCCCGGCTAACAGAGATTTGTCTGCAGGCTGCTTGATTAGCTATTCTTTAAAAATATACATCTTAATTTTACCTTTGATCCCATCCCGGTTTATCAACTGCTTTCCCAAACAAAATTTATGAGGTCAGTGTCTTCTTTTATGGTAGCCTCAGCCTGGCTGTGTTTTTTTTTTCAGGCAGAGAGTAGTACGTCAAACAAACATAACTTCTGACAATAAAGTGACCCAGAATGTCCAAGATGTCAAGGCTACATACGGGTCCACAGATATGAGGACACACCCATCAACACAACTGCAGCCATCCAATAGAATGACGATACATACAGTTCTCAACTATAATGCTGTCTACAGATGTTTACTCTTTATATCCGCTTCTAGCAGAAGCTACTCATGCACCTACTCATGTTTATTACTGAAGTGTGATAATCTGTACACCTCTGCCTTATTTTTTGGAAGAAAAATAATGCTTCCATCATGTTGTTTAAAAGATGGTGAAGCTAACCCACCTTTATCTGAAGACAGATAACAAAGCTTTTTTGTGGTTCATAGCATAAAGAAGAAATCAACTGGAGTTATTGTTAATTTTGTGCAGCGATTACGTTGATACATTTTGGTTGATTTTATAGTATCGCTGTCCGATCGGAACTTTGCAGGCATGGTAGATGTGGCACTTGTATTTGATTTCATTGGCCACATTATATCTAGTTAAAAAATTTCTGTGTAGAATATAAAAAGGAAATTAAAATTAGCAAACCCTTCCTCACATGAGCATAAATTGAAGAGGATTCATGAGAATGATTAAGGGATTATAAAACATGTCTTATAGTGATAGACTCAAAGAGCTCAATGTATTTAGCTAACAAAGAGAAGATTAAGGGGCGACTTGACTACAGTGTTTAAGAATCTACATGGGGAAAAATATTTAATAATGAGCTCTTCAATCTAGCAGAGAAATGATCCAATGGCTGAAAGTTGAAACTAGACAAATTCAGACTGGAAATAAGATATACATTTTTGACAATGTGAGTAATTAACCACTGGTACAACTTACCAAGGGTCATGGTGGATTCGCCATCATTGACCATTTTTTCACCAAGATTGGATGTTTTTGTAAGAGATATGCTCCAGGAATTATTTTGGGGATGTTCTTTTATCTAGGAGGTCAGAATATATTATCACAATGGACCCTTCTGGCTTTGGAATCTATAGTCTTTCTTCCCATGAGTAGTACCACTGAACTAGCTTGGGTTAGTCAGGTGAGTCAAAGTTTACAGAAGTGAGCCTATGATCCTTTAACAAGAGAGGGGTTGACTGTGGGCGCTCCAGTGGGCCCCGTTTCAACAAGGCACTTAAGGATCTGCTCAAGTGCCATTGACTTCAGTAGACTTAAACACTTATTGAAATTGAGGAATGTGCTTCAGCGCCCTGCCTGAATCGGGTCATAGGCAGAACTCCCACTGGGATTTCCAGCTGCAGGGTCAGAGCCTGTATTATTTATTTTCTTTTTACAAATATAAAAAGCAGGAACAGAGTTACAATATAATCACAGCACTGAAACCGTTAAAAAGCATTTGGACAAAATGTGTTTCTGGTTAGTTTAAAGAAGGATAAACAAGATTTAATAGCTGGCAATGAACATGAATATTTTCCTTCCATAAATAATATTTGGATTCATTCAGACTCATGTGGCTTCTACACAAGTAAGGCTCCACTCAATTTTCTAATTTTTCCATCTTCCTTATTTCCTAAAATGTGATTTGTTGAGTTAGCGAATTAAAATGCTCTGAGGTTTGGTTTTGGCTCTGTGTGCAACTGTGCTATTTTACCCCATTATTCAGTGTGACAAGTTTATTGCCCTAAAACACACTAGCACACACCTAGTGCAGCAATTGAAAAAGAGAGAACAACTCTATTAAGTAGCACCTCTTCTACATATAGGGCCAAATTCCATCCATTCCAAATTCCTTATATTTTCCTCAAATCTTCACCTCTCTTCTCTTCAGCATGTTCACCACATGTGTAAACCTGTTGGCTGAATTTGGGTAGTTTAGAGAGTAAAGGCCAACTCCAGCAATAGACTGGAGCTGAGACTGTTCATTATTAATTATTAGTAGTATTCTGATAGCACCTACAAGCCCCATTACAGGATCAGGACCCCATTGTGTTAGTCACTCTACCCTCATAGAACCCAGACCCTGCACCACCGAGCATACAGTCTAAAAGACAAGACAGAGAGGTGGAGACAAAGCTCAGCATCATGTAGAAAGTATTGTACGTGTCCTAAATGCTCCTGTTAAGGTCAATGGCAAAAACCCTATTGTCTTTAGTCTTGCAGTATCATGTAGGAGCTGATAAATGTCTCTGCAACAAACCAGTCAAACTAAGTACAGTCACACCACTTTAGATGAAAGCTGTCAAGCTGTCCTGCAGTGACTCAAGAGTGTGGGTACCAACCTGAGGGCAGACTGTTAAGAACCAGGGCACAAACCCCAAATAAAGCAAAGAACTCACAGCCAAATTTCACCAATAAATTATCAAGTGTGAACTCCTCAAGCACTATAACAGCATTAACATGGAGTCACCAACAATCCTCTTGGGTACTCCAATCTGTCTTGCTACCCAGGCAAGCCTACCTTTGTGATAGATGGTCCATTACACCAAAAACCACAACAATATTCACATTACTCCCAGTCTCAAAGGACCAGTCACTTATCCCAAGTCTATTGCACTTTAGATCTCACATCATAGAATCATAGAATATCTGGGTTGGAAGGGACCTCAGGAGGTCATCTAGTTCAATCTCCTGCTCAAAGCAGGGCCAATTCCCAATTTTTTCCCCAGATCCCTAAATGGCCCCCTCCAGGATTGAACTCACAACCCTGGGTTTAGCAGGCCAATGCTCAAACCACTGAGCTATCCCTGCCCCCAAAGACAACACTTGTAGCCAATGTTATAATAAACTATATACAGATTTATTAAATAGGAAAAGGAAACAAGCAAGTTATTTACAAGGTTAACACAGGTAAATTTATATACACACTAATGAGTTCCAACCTTAAATTTCAAAAAGTAATAGAAGCTTATTTTATAAACAGGCTCTGTATGTCCTTTAGTGCTAACCCAGGCTAAGCACTGGGGATCTTTTGCTTATGCCTAGTAACCACCCCCCCTTCCCTGAGTCCAAGCAGCATAAAAAAATGTTTTTTCTTGTTACAAGTTTTTATTCCCTTCTCCCTTCTGCTTTGAGCTGCAAACTCAGCTGATGGGAGGAATTCATTTGCATGACTCATCTTTGGGGCGGGGGCTGTAAGAGGGGGATCGGGGGAAGAGGGCAATCAACAAAGTCTTTTGTACTTTTCAATGTTCCACAATAGTTCATCTGGTGTTGATTGGCCTTCCTTGCTGACCAGGATGTAACATCTTCTGTTGGAGATCAGCATTTTACACTAGTTAGTGTCTCTCCTGTCTGGTGATTTACCCCATCACGGAGGCTTATACACTATGGGATATGGATGTTATAAGAGAGATTAATGCATGAAGCAACTTACAAGCATTCAGTAAAGTCTAAACACAAGCACATTTTTATAATTATAATACCTATTTTAACAATACTTAACACATAGGTGAGCCAGAATGATTCCAGCTATGTATTTGTCAGTGCTGCACTGAGGGATGGGGACATGGGCGGCACGTGAACCACTGGCTGGGGAGGCTAGCCCCTACCCCGCCCCTTTCGCTCCTCCCCCTGCTGCAGCCCAGAGCCCCTCCACCACAGCTGCCAGCTCCCGTCTTAGATAGTTTCCCCATCGTAAGGACTCGCCCAAATTCTTGCTGGCCAGCGGCCCAGTCCTGCAAAAGCTGGTGAAGCATCCTCATGTGCTATTAAAGTCAAGGGGAGTTGAGGATGGTCAGCTCTTTGTAGCAGCTAGCGTTGTATTTTTTTGGCCTTGTGCCATTCTGCGGTAACAGAAATCCTAGCACCTAACATTAGGCACTGTAGGAGTGAATCTGATTTTAATTTAGGCCTTTATGATATTTTATTGAAGTGATTATATACATGCAGCAGGCATCTGGTCCTAATGTATTTGGCACAGTTAAGAGAAATTTTATTTTACCCAGATTTCATTCCTGATTTTGTTTAATTATTACTAGTGGCGGGAGATGTCAGATTCTGTTCTCAGTTACACCAGTGCAATCTAGTTGACTTTTGTGATGTAACAGAGCAGAATTTAGCTTGCTGCCTTTACAAGAAAATAGGATCAAAGCAGCAAAATAAGTCAGCTGTTTCACACAGTTTTTTCTGATACAATGTTTTTTTACTCGTACAATATTGTGTCTAATACTGGAAAAACATTCATGCATGAAAACTACATGTTCGTTATAATAATTGATTATGAATATAAAGAAATATCAGTCGGATATGCCCTGCATACCTTGTACCTATAGAGATGCATGTATGCATGAACATTTGCTTGCACACAGGACAGTATACAGAGGCGATCTCATCAGTGTCGCACATGCAACAATTTCACTAAGCAATTTTACTACCTGGAATTACAGTTTGCATATTACAATGCACTGAAACAATTTGACAGTTTCATTCCTCTTCACTCTAAGCAGAGTTTCTGGGAGATAGCATGGCCTGGGGGAGAGACAAACAAACCTGGATTCTATTCCCCGCAACTCTGCTGACTTGGAGTAGGAAGGCATAGCCTAACTCTCCCAGCCGCATCAACCAGCAGAGTTGAGCTGGTGTGGGAGGCAGTGGGGAGCGCAGGCTGCAATCTGTTGAAGGGGATCGATGCTGCTGCTGCTGCTGCTGCTGCGTGTGCTTCTCTAAACCCTCCCAGAGGCATTATGCCTGCTGCAAGCACACTGCCTCTGGGAGCTTCTGCCAGCACAGCTTCTGCCCCTCCCTATCCCCAAGAGTTATACTCGTGGAGAAATAGTTATTGTACACATATGGGCTAACTAGGATGAAGGCATAGAAATACTCTTTTCTTCCAATTGAACTCCATTATTGGATTATTTGTGTGGAAAGCAACCCTGGAACAATGAGCTATAAATCTTAATCTGAAATAAAACGCTGCTCCATCAATAATGTTGTAGTACCATACATAAAAAGTTGATCCCCAATTTGCAGATCTTTGATCCCTCTTAAAAGAGGGCTACAGCATGCCCTGGTAATGCTCCCCAAACAATACGCCTTGCTGTTACTGCCGCATATTGAATCGTTAATATGGAATACTGTGATTGGGTTTGTATAACGGATGCCTCTTTGGCTACATATTTGGGCTGTCCCAACTACACCATTGGTGCACAACAAATAACATATTGGTTATGTGTTGTGGAAACTTTACGTAGGAATGATATAGTGGAAAAAGTGGTCTGGAACTAGTTACGCTACTTGTAAAGTTACAAGCCAAGGCCCTGATCCAACAAATCACTTAGGCACATGCTTGACTTTGAGAATGTGAGTAGTCCCATTGAAGTCAATGCTCATGCTTAAAGTTAAGTATGTGCTGAAGTGCCTTGCTGAATCGGGCTGAAGAGCTGAAACCATTTTTCATGCCAATAGTCCTTATGCAAATGGCCCCACTGAAGGATTAAGTAAGCAAGGATTTGCAGGATTGGGCCCCAAATTCTTTATCAATTCATCACATACACAAAATTCAAACTTTGATTTCAACTGCTTTTCAGTGATGTGACTAAAGAAGCCAAAACACCTTCACAGGGATCATGCCAAGCAGTCGTTCTGAACAAGTCTGGTGCAATATTCAGTGAACTGTAACTAATATTTTCATCTTATCACCTAAAAAGCCATCAGAATGATGCTTGGCTAATTTTCCGAAGGATGCATTTACTATAAATTGCTTTACAATGCTGTCGGACTGAGTCAGGAGCAATAGTGAGCCAAAACATACTCTGTCAAGGGAAGTGTTTGGTTGATGAAATTATACATAAGTCATCAAGCAAAAGCCTGTTAAAATGAATTTCCATTAGATGTTTCTCTGAATATGGTGTTTAAATTCAAACTTCAAAATAGCAACCTTAAGAAGTTCCTTCCCTACTTCATTCACAGATCTGCTCTTTGAACACATCATAATGCTATTAATTTAGTTAAATTAACGTGCACATGCAGAGAAGCAA